TAGCGAACACAATCAATACCAGGGTGCAGCACTTGCTTCTTGTAGGTGCTGGAGCATTCGGCCTACAGTGCGACAAATTTGGGCCACTGAAGCAGGCACTCAACAAACGTCGATAACAGCCAGACGCTCAAGTGAAACTGGTGTTTTCCAGCAGCAGCCTTCGGAATTCTTCGAGGAAGTCATCCAGAGCTTGATAACTCTGTGGAACGCGTGTCTGAGTGCGGATGGTGACATTAGTAGATATTACGTAATCGACCACAGGCAGATTCTTGTTGAACCACCTTCAAGAACAGAATCATCTTAAGTGATATAGGGTGGTCGTGGGGGTATCCTGGACAAGTGCTGGAGAAATCCCAGATAATTCCTCGAAAGGTCCTGGAGAAATTCTGGATAAGTCGTACAATAGAGTCGGCGAAGTCCTGAATAGGTTATGCGGAAGACCTAGAGCGGCGGTGGGTTTTATCTTATGCGAGACTGTTATTTTGGATTCGTATGTTTGATTGGTATAAGTTACATTGGGTTAGGTTGCGTTGAATTGGCATAGGCTGGATTAGATTAGGTTCAGCTAGGTTAGCTAACGTAATGTTAGGTTGCTTAGGTTAGGTTAGATAAGGTTGTTTTGTTTTGCGATGGGTTAGATTGTCCTGGTGAATTTCTAGCGTGCTCATTGGGTTGTCGTGGGGAAGTCCTGGAGAAGTGCTGGAGAAATCCTGGAGAATTCGTGGAAAAGTCCTGGAGAAATTCTGGATAAGTCGTAGAGTGGAGTAGGATACGTCCTGGATAGTTTACGCGGAATTTCATTGGTCATGGAGAAGTACTGGAGAAATCCTGGAGAAGTGCTCGAGACGTCCTGGAACTTTATGTAGAAGTCCTAAAGCGGCGGGTCGGTTATTTTGGATTCGTTTATGTTTGATTGATATAAGTTACATTGGATTCGGTTGCGTTGTATTGGCTTAGGTTGGGTTAGGTTACAGTGAGTTGCAGCACCCCCTATATTTTTTCAAAAATTCAAAAATTATTTTTTGTGTTATTTAATTTGTAACACTTTTTTCCTCTATATAATTATTTTAATATTTCCCCTTACGTTTTCATTATCCACTAATCGCCTGAACTGATAGTAACTCCACGGGCGAGGAGTGCGAAAAGTACTGGAGAAATCCTGGAGAAGTGCTCGAGACGTCCTGGAACTTTATGTAGAAGTCCTAAAGCGGCGGGTCGGTTATTTTGGATTCGTTTATGTTTGATTGATATAAGTTACATTGGATTCGGTTGCGTTGTATTGGCTTAGGTTGGGTTAGGTTACAGTGAGTTGCAGCACCCCCTATATTTTTTCAAAAATTCAAAAATTATTTTTTGTGTTATTTAATTTGTAACACTTTTTTCCTCTATATAATTATTTTAATATTTCCCCTTACGTTTTCATTATCCACTAATCGCCTGAACTGATAGTAACTCCACGGGCGAGGAGTGCGAAACAGAACGGGGCTATCATCCAGCTGCAAGGATTTCAGCGCGGTTAGCCGTTCAAATGTAGTGAGTGCGTTGGGCGGTGGAGTGAGGGACAGTTCACTGGTACAGCGCGTATCGGGGCTGCAGTCCCCGCAGCCGGCTTATAGTAAACACCCTTACCCGGTACCACGTGTTTTAGACCGGTTTCTGTATCACAAACTGTTTCGTGGTTATTGTTGATGAGTGTTAAATCATTCTGTGTGCTGACTATTTTTTGTTTTAATAATGATAATGAGCAAAGGAAGTGTGTCATAGTTACGGCAAATTACTTTTTTCTAAATTCTCTTTGAGTGAAAAATGATGTAAAAATTCATAGCCTCCCTCTTCCGGACTTACAAATAGTTAAAACATCGTCGATCACGTATGGGTTTTCTCCTGATGTAAATTTACTTTTCATTTATTTATATTGTTACGTTTTCAAATACTATTCTGATTTTTTCCCCTTGCGCAGCACTACCACTGCTAAGACTCACGAGCCGCCACTGGTGTTAACCACTTGACAGCAGCTTTAAAACACAATATTGTGTGAGCAGTGGTTTCACAGCCGTGATGATAACAGTGACAAAAATCATAGTTAATACAATAGATTAATGTTTTGTTTTATTTTAAGGAAATGTTTTATTTCCAAAATGTTAATGAAGTACACAATACACTGGAAGTAAACAATGACAGGAGCTGATATTTATCTAATCTGACCACCTTCAAGATGCATTTTGAATCGCTGATACTCTCGCAAACGAATGGCATGGATGTTGATGAATCCCGTGGCATCTTCAGGTTGAAAGTCTCCCTGTTGATCCATGGAAACAAGACTCTGGTTGTAGAGAGCTATTGGAGAATGTCGGGCCAGTACTTGGACTAGAACAGCACAGAACATCTCGACATCTTAAATACTATGCAATTCATAACTTGTTCCTGGGGAGACATTTTTACAAATACACTAACAAAACCTTGCTGATTGGTTAATTATAGACAAGGCAGTAGAGGACAGCAGATTTCCTGTTAGGGCCATTTGAAACTTTTCTTTTCATCACCTCATTCACCTCTCGAACCAACAGGAGGGGATGGGATCTCTTCCATTATATATACAGACAGCCTGAGTAAAACCATGATCATAGAGCTTTACCTCGAGACTGAAATCAGTTCTGATGACATGGAACAAATCACAGGAACAATTTCTTAATCTGTTCAGTCCAGTTCACACTCTCTTATTTCCCTTATATTCATTTGAATACTATCCTCAGAGCTTCTTCTCAGTATTCCAAATTTCATCTTTCAAAGCCCTTTCTAAGCAAAATTCTCTTTTAATTTCTTGTTCACCAATCTGAACTTCCAAGTCCAGCCAAATATATAAAAATATTAATAGCATATTTTGGTAATGTCAGCACTTGTGCACACAACTGATTAGTCTTGATGGATACTATTTAAAAAAGTTCTTACAATTGGGCCAAACCTAAGTGTATGAAGCACTCTACTTAAAATCAGCAAACAGAACTGAAACTGCAGTAAAGATGGGTTTCAGTGCGTAAATTCGAGTCTGTAATTTATAATTAAGAGATCCAGTAAACCGTTGACTACTATAACTTACCTGAGCCCTTATATAATTGTACCTGGACCCAGCCAGTGACATGGCGCTGTGAAAGAGCAATACTCTCTCGCACAAACTCACACTCAGGGCTGAACCAGAATCCTGTAAGACAGAAGTCAAAAGAAATTATACAAGAATTAAATAAATTGTCATAGTGATATAAAATTTAACAATTACTGCTTAAACAAAATTCTCATTATCTTAATAGTGGAGCCTGAAAGAATGCACTTTGTGATTTCCCTGTTGTTCTTTGCTGTCCTTGTCTCTGAGTGAAGGAAATTTAGAAAATTGTTTAAAACATGGATGTATAGGTATTTGGAGTAATATACATGTGTCCTGTGTCATCCTAAAGTTTGAAATATCACGCCTCCTCTTGGATGATTTCTTATTTTACATCCAATGGATTGTTGTCTGTATTCTTTGATAATCATGTTTAATTTACACTGATCAATGTAACTCATTTTTATTTTTAGCTAGCTACATAATTGTTACAATTTTCAGCTGAGGAAGACAGATTCTCAAGCAACTCTTCCCTTAATCATAATCATAACCTTCACAAACAGTTGATCTCAAACTTCCCAGTAATGTAACCAAAATAGTTCAAAACTATTAGACCAAGGACTGCCTATTCTGACCCAATTCATGAGAATTTTCATGCTCACAGTCTAGTTACCTCTGATCTACTTCTAGCCTTCCAAGTGGCCACATTACAAGAGAATTCACAATTAAATTTCAGTATATATTTCTTGTCTTTCCAACCCAAGCTCCCCAGTTAGCCTGATATAACCTCTTTCATTGCAGCAATACAATGGAAGTTAATTATATTTCTTGCAAAATAATTTCATTTAAAAGGAAATTCATCTCTTGTGAGTCATAAATCTTTTATCCATGTGATGGACAGCTAAGGAGTATACTCTCAGAAAATATTCTCAAACATCACTTGACCAGAGACAGTATTATCATGTCATTACCATTGTACACATAGTCTGCCATCTTGTCTCGGAGGAAAGTCTTTACACGCAGTACCTCTCGGTCAAGACAGAAGGTCTCTAGGTCTGTGTGAGCAGCATGCAGGATAGTGCCACCTGGTGTTTCATACACGCCACGTGACTGTCAACATATCACAGGATTTCTCATTCACATGGAAAAAATTTATAGCAGAGACATATATGTGTAACTAAATCATCATTATCTTCATAAACAAAATTACAGGACGTTTCGTTCATTTGTGATCCTACATACAGTCAAATTTGAGTTCAGTCCCAAGAAACTCAGTTAGGTACACATACTATTGATAAGTTTGCATACTTACTTTCAACCCAATGAATCGATTTTCAACAATGTCAATACGACCAACACCATGCTTTCCTCCAAGCTCATTCAGAAGAATGAACATCTTCAATGGATCTGTGTTGACTGGGCCAACCTCTGTCAAATTCTTTATGCTAACTGGTATGCCTGGGAACACAAAACTTTAAACATTGCAGACAATACCCCATAAATGACTTCAGTTTCCTGTTACTTCACGTTTCTTAGGTCCAAATATTATCCTCAGCATTATTTTAAATAAATGAAAACTTTGATTCCCACAGAATATTGAGTAATACCATGTTCAAAGTTGATCTGCAGCTTGCAGGGCTTATCTGGAGCATTCTTAGGATCAACAGTCATCTGGAATATTCCATCAGGGGCCAGTTCAGCTGGATCTTCCAACACACCAGATTCATAACTATGGATGTTATAATAACAAACACTGAGTAAACACAGAACGGTTCTGAATGCACTGATAACCTAGTTACTGAACATCATCTTGATAATTTAATTTTTGCATTCAATACAGTCTTCTAATCACCGCAACATGTAGGAATGATGAAAAAATTACCATCATATTTAAATAATTTACTATCTCCCTGAAGAAGGAGGCAGCAGCGTTTTCAATGTAAATCCTGAAAAGGGAGGTAGCAAGTTCTTCTGAAATGTAAATAATTATTTTCCTAATTTGATATTGTGCAATATCCAGATGACTACAACAGATGTGAACTGCCATAAGAAAACCCTCAAGTCTTACGTAGTTTTGTACAGTGTACATTTGTTTCTCTGCAGAAAAGTTATAATTTCTTCAGTATGTAGTTTAATTTCATAAACTATAGTGTAATATCATCTTTATGTATTCTTTGCATGAATTGAATACATGCTGAGAGTCATATATGTCCATCTGCAAGCTACGTCTCCAAAATTATTTATTCAATTCTGATTAAATTTCTTATTTTTGTATGCACTAAAATTTGTCAAGAAAATTTCATTTTCCTTTGTGTTGATGCAGTGTTGCCCCAGGTATATATAAAGTTCCAATTTGATCTCAGCAGTTTTCTGAAAAATGGCTTATAATATAACAAGCTGTTATATAATATAAACTGTATACCTTAATTTTACTTAAAACATTTTTTAATTTTGTATATTTAATAAAATACAAGGGAGAATAAGTTTGCTCATCATATACCCTCAAGTAATCAACCATTTAAATGTAGCATTCCAATCTAGTTACATGGCTGATTGCCCAAGAAGACATCCTTGCATTCAGTTACCATGAAAACTTCAAACCTTATTTTGAGGAATAAGTAATGACTGAAGTAAGGAATCTTTAGTGTAATTTTCTTTGCATCAGCAGATTTTCATCTCCAGTAAATGAGTATCAAGGCCAGTGAAGAAAATAAAGTCACAACTAATTTGATAAAAAAGTGATTTCAAATCAGAGTACATCCTCCATCTTCAATGTATATCTGTTTTGCCTTTGTTAATTGAAGTCGAAGGTATCATATGACCTGATATGCATAAGGTTGGCATCCATACTCCAAGGTTTTTCGAGTGTTACTGGTACAGGAACACCATGACTTGCTGCATATTGGATCAAATCCTGACGACCCTGAAATCTTTCAGTGAAATGTTCAGTTCTCCATGGAGCTAATACCTGTAATACATTACAGAAATGTTTTGAATGTGAACTTTGATTTACTCTCTGAGGAGGGTTTCAGACTAAAATACAAAGTAGAGGAAAGTACAAAACTATATTGTAAAAAACAAAGTAGGTGATTTTTTATATCATTTTGGAACAATGAAAGTTTAATCATTATTGACAATGTACAGCAACTTATGCACAGTCCAGCTGGCCATGCTTCACTAGCATATTGCTAAACCATTAACCTTCAAATTAAAATTCTGACCAGTTGTCCCATAGTACAGCATTTAAATTGTATTCTCATACAATGAAAGTTAACCAGAAAAAGATAGGCTTGGCATCATAATGTCATTCATCAGACCATAAACATGAGAATCAGAGAATAACATGTTTCAGATTGGAAAACAATGAAGTAGACTAAGTAGTAAGTAATAAATATGAGAAATTGAAATCTGAATGGCATGCAGGGAATTTGATTCAGTTTTATGGAAGTGGTAGGCTTGCATTCTAGTTATGAGATTAGTGCTACATTAGATTGAATTGTACAACTCGCCTTCACTTGTGGCCACAATGCATAACAACTTAGCTCAAAACGAACTTGATCATTGCCTTTTCCTGTGGCACCATGGGAAATGAACTGTGCCCTCTCTTCGCGGGCCACTTTTACCAATCCCTGAGAGATACAGGGACGAGCCAGCGATGTTCCTAAGAGATAGCGAGACTCATAGACCAATCCAGCACTCACTGCAGACCAGATGAAATCTTTCACAAATTGGACTCTTAGATCATCAATCACTACCTATACAAAAAACAAACTAATGTTTCATTAATATCATAACATATTGTCATATAGCTGAATTCATGACGACATCCTATTTCTCTCTCAGATTTCATGTTATCTAACAGTCTTCTAAGTGAACATCAAAGTCATCCCTGTTGGATTGTAGGCTATGACTTGTTTTGGAACTAGAAGGGGTGAAGTAAGTGAACTATTCAGGTTATTAGATAATGACATTATGATTCATACAGATCATGTGTTAGCGTAGTGAAATCATGGTTATGGTAGACCAAACATGTATATCAAATGGGTGAGAAAAGAGATGCATAAAAAAATTTATGGAGGCTCCTATTGGAAAATCAATATTTCCCACTTCTTCACTAAATGTTTTAGATAATATAGTAAATGAAGTGTAGTATCTTACCTTAGAAGCACCTATTTTCAGTGCCTTCTCTCTCGCTGTTTCAAAGTCATCTTCTTGGCCAATATTTGCCTGGAAGATAATACAGTAATCCCTTCTTCAGGAAACATTTAAATAACACGAACATCTTGGTAGAACTTATGATGCCTACTTTCTCTTCCAATGATAATGCTTTTAACTATTAAAACATTCAGTCGTCTTATTTCTGTACAATTTTCATTAGTAGATTCTATGTAAACATTTTTGATATAACCTAAATGTTTTCAGTATCACATCTGTAACTATAAACATGTAAGAAATTTTTCACACAGAATTTGTGCATTTATATTCTACTGCATACAAGTAGTACTTTAGTTATTGCCTCAAAATTAAAGGCTAAATATACAGACTTTACCTATTTGTTAAGTTGTTATTTTACATAAAATGATATTCAGGTTGCATATTTTCCAAAGATTTATCACCATGTAATACTTCAGAGTCCTATGCCAGAATTCTGCATAATAAAATATGAAATTGTTTTTAATTTAGTCCTACAACTTTCATTTAATAATTCAGAGTAATAAAACAGTACCAATACAAGAAAATATTCATTTGCATCTTTCTATAAAATAACTCTGGTAGCTTAGTCAATAAAGCAACTGGTCGGTGAAGATTTGATTTCTGGCAAATGCAGATTTTTTTTCTGTCTTAGGCACCGCATCCACACCAACTTAGGGGCTCACCCATCTTAATATTATTAGGATTTATTTATGTGCGGATAGGGCAGCCATAGTGTAGAACAAAGTGCCAAGATCTAGAATGACGAATTTTACCTCAGTGTCCCACATATGCCTTCATTGTGCCAGACCTAGACAACTCTAACCTTCCATTAAATATTTTTACTGGATAAGTAAAAAAATTGAGTCTGCAACTTTCAGTTCATGTTTAATAACCAAATTTTCTACATTTATGGCCAGTGATGTGTGGGCTCAAACATGCAGCTATAGGGACAAAAAGGCATAACTCGTTCACTGTTAATTTATTTACTTTAACTAAACACCACAGATGACCCAGCCACATTACTCCTGAGGGTTAACACTGGTACAAACAAGTATCAAAAATATCTAACAACAGAAGTTCATTTTTTTTATATATCGCTTGTTAACATTAATAATTTAATAGCAAGCTTACCATGTAGGCAATAACAATGTAGCCTTGTTCAATAAGCCACAACAGGATACATGATGTGTCCAGCCCACCACTGTATGCCAGCACCACAGTTCCCTTTGATGTGCTCATTACCTGTATAATTTATACATGTGCAATAGATGATGTAAACCTACTCTTAGCTACAAAGAGTAGTAGATTATAAACATTTAATTCAGCAAATGGTGGAATACCTCAGCATGTTGAGTTGCTATTTTGAATCACTGTGGTGTGTGAACTGAACAACTTGTAAAACTTATGTAACAAATAATTTGAAAATGTTTCACAACTGCAATAAACAAAAATTATATTCATGATGAAATGAAGAGAAAGATACATTTACATGTCTGTGCTATGCATAATTCTACATTATGAATATTAGAGGCAGGTTTCACTGAAGGCTACCATATAATAGACTTTGCACACCTTAGCATACACTTACCATGTGTTATGTCTGCTGCAGTCAGCCAACAACTACAAATGAAGCAGTTCCCTAAGGCCCTCTGTAGTTGATAGCAGTTAGTCTTGGTCAAAGTCACAGTGAGATTAAATTCCGCTTATACTCTTCACTGTTATTACTCCAAACTTTTCTTGTCAGCAGAATGATAAAAATAAAAAGCTTTACATAACAAAGTTCAACCTATGAACTTCTATTTAGTAGGATGACAGGGTCAGTTGCGTGGCTTTTCAGACTGCTGTCAGACTATGAGATAATGATATCAGCATATTTATTGTCATATATAACTGATAACACGTAACTGTTTTGTAAAGAGACAGTTGTTTTGTAATTCAAGAGGGAGAGAGAAATTATATCTAGAACAGAAGACACTGCTGACATCCATATGTACTACAGCAGTGACTGCCAAATTCTTTGGATGACAGCAAACTAAGAAGAGCTCATAATTTATAGAGGGCACCATAAGAATTTATAAGAAAAACCTGAACTGAAATTTTAGACTATATTTGTGTTCTCATTTTTTATTTCAACTGGCTCATAGGGAAATATCACAAGAATGTGACAGATTATCAGAAAATTAAAACATCAAACATTTAAAATTCTTTGTGAATGTTCTAAAATTTTTGCAGGCACCCCAGAACCCTTCTAAGGGCATTAAAGTGTCTGTGCACATTGTTCAGATACTGGGGTACAGTATGGCTCAGTCTTACTTAGGATCTTGCCTCATACTCACTGCATTACTCAGAACTTACTGTCTGCTTCTCACTTTAAAACCATCTGTTCACATCTTTGTGATGTACATTTTGAAATTTGTAGTATGAGATGACCTCTTGTAGCATAATATTTGAAACACCCTTCATCAAAATCTGTCAAATAGTTAAAAACTTATTTTTGAGAACAGATACATACAGTAGTCTAGCTTTCCTTATATGTAAGTGGCTCAACATTACATTTGATGGTACGGAGTATTAATAGTGGATTTTTTTAACAGAGTTGGTAGATCAGTAAAAGATATTTGCCATGGGCAAGACAAATCAATCATAATTTTTGTTCCTGAAAGAACTGATTGATCACTCATTTATTTATCAGTACTTTATATTATATTATAACAGTTCTTGCCAGGAAGTGACAGATGTGTTCAATTTCACCAGTAAACACACTGTACTATGACAAAGATGAATGGAGGTATGGAGGTAAGGTATTGCTCTACACTTTCTTAACCTTGGCACTAAATGGAGTTAAGCAGTTACCCTTATGCTCTGGTCAATACACCACCAAATAAAGGATCCCACCAACTGGATAGGAGGCTGTGGACAGGACTGTTTTAAAGAGTATTTTTGAAATATAGTATTTGTGATGTATTATTGCTTTATTAGGTGGGTACTCATTACTAATGCTTTTCTTTCCATTAAATAAATTATAGTATACTCTAACAGGTATATATAGGACTATAACCAAGCACATTGTTTGCAAAAATGTACATGTGATAAAGATCCCATTTACCATATACAATCAGATCACACTTCAAAATATTGGCTAACATGGCTGCTGAAAAAGATATTATGTATTCACTATGAAACAAAGATTGCTAGACACCATCTTCCAAAAATAATCTGTATCATCCAAATATACACCTTCCTATAACTTCATTCTGTAGATTGCAGTTTCTACTTTTGAGAATAAATAATATTATACTGGAATATTTCAATTTCTAATATGATTATGACACAGCATCCTGATTATTACATATGCTGTCACTGTAATATATAGAACACATTTACTGAAACTGTTTATTTTATAGTAGATAAGACCAAGACAAGAGATCAGCTTCATGCTTAAGTAATTTTATTTGTCCTGCTGGGTTAGAGTGGTATCCAGAGCAGGTCCAGACATGATTGAAAAGATCAAAAATCCATAAGCCTAATGAAAATCAAAATCCACTTGTCTAGCAAATAGTAGCTCTACTGCCTGAAATATCCTGCCTGTTTTTATTACAGTTGTCATAGATGTGTGGAAATCAAAAACAAAATAAGGAGGTACTCACAAATATGTACATTTCAGGAATACAGTCTACTGAAACACTGCAAAAGCTGTTGAAATCAGTGGTGACTCAAACAGTACTTCTAAGAACTTCCCTCAAAAATACATCAACTCCAGACTATAGCCCTACCAAACACATCAGTTATTAATATTTACATCCAAGATGGCTAAATATACTTGTGTAATCTTATATTCAAATTTTCAAACAGATGTTCCAAGTTTATAGAACAGTCTTAACTCAATAAAACTGCAAACCAAATTATAAATTGAATGACTAGACAGTATTCTTAAATTATTCAACACAACATAAAAATACAGAATAAATACTCTGTCTCTTGAATTTTCACTGTCACCAGTCAACATACATTAGAATTCTGCCTTACCAAATCTGTTAATACAGATTCATTCATTCAATCAAACCTAATAGTTATATTTATTAATCTATGTATTTGTGTTTCTTTATTTACAATTGTGCCCCAGAACATTTTAACACAAATTTCTGAACATTCTGTAGGTAATACAAGGTGATTACAAATAATCACTAGTTTCTGATACCTTCCACAATATAAAATTGACTCACAAGAATTCCTCTATAATAAATTTTCTTCTTCATAAATAGAGCATAAGTTTCAAGATGAATAAAAATGCTACAATGCCACGTCATAGTTTCCTTGAAATCTTCTAGTTTGTTCTGCTGTCACAAGAACTTTTTTAAGTTCAAACAGACCTGCTACATAATAGACATACTTACGCAGATTTTCAAACTAAGGGATACATGTAGGATTCTTAATTATTTAACAGTCATTAGCAACAACATAAATTCACATTTATTTTTATCTTCAAATTTAATTAATATTGACATATGACAAAGATAATCATTTTCATGTCACTCTTTTACAAAGTTTACTCTTCAATTAGTGATCTTAATGTGCAGTGTGCTGGAGGAACCTTGCCAAAAAATATCTGACAACATGAGAAGTCAGTTACAGATTGATACATGTCTGGTCTATGAAAACTACAATGTAAAATTCCATACAGACTATAAGCACGTCAATTTCAATTTCCAGCCCTTAAAAGTTACATATTAGTATATACTAAATCTTCACTGCCACCCCACACACACACACACTAACAAAAACAAGTTCCAATACAAACATTCTTGATTTACATAAAAACGAAAGATAGACACTGCATAACTTTATTTCCATAAGCAAAATAAATCTAAGCTTTTAATAATTAAAATATTATTTTTTTCACAATGGGTAACATAATTTAAAGAATAGCAATACAAACATTCCACTCATACAAGCACTAAACCCAAGGTCTCTCTCACTGACAGGTGAGTTTCAATTTGGCTGACCTATACATACCACTTATCACACTTGAAAGCACTTAGAAATGCTACCAAAAATTTTAAGTTTTAGCTGTAACAATTCTGAAGTTCCAAAATCATACTATTTTTATACAATCTATTAATCAGTGTGAATTTTAGATTTACACTCTTTATAACTCATTTATATATAACATATATATATAAATCTTTATACACATGGCATATATTGTAGTGGGATTTCACACATAAATATCATTCAGCATACTCATTAAACAAGCAAGGTTGCTATACTGGTGTTCCAAACAAAAAATCATAAACATGTTATATTAAGACAACAGTGTTTATTTCTCAATGTCAGGAACACATAATCACAAAATCTTTGGAATACCAAGAATACTTAACATGGCAGAATACTGGGCTTAATCTTTCTGTCATGCTGGGCAAAAACAGAAATGCTCACTTCCTATTTTCGGCACTTTCCATTTGACCTTAAGTGTATGTCTCTTCATTCATACATGAACAGTCCCTCAGGAAAAGAGTGTTAGGCCATACTGTTTAGTAACACAATATACTTATTGGTTACTTAACTTTTGTAGATTGCTCAGGAAGTCTTCTGGTGTAAGAATATGTGATGAACCTGAAACACCAACAAAATGTTTTGAAGTATACATACCACTTAATAATATACCAGAACTTTGGAAAGCAAGAGTCCTTAAGAATCTAACAGTCTCTTTATTGATCAAGAATGTCTCTGTCCTTTACATAACCCAGAGGTCAATGCCATTTTCACAAGAACAAACCACTGGACCCTATCCCAACCCAGATGAATACATTTTATATCCTTACTACTTTGTTAAGATTTATTTTAATATTATCTCATTTACATCCAGATACTACAAGTGACTTCTTCCCCTCAGGTTCTCTGACTACAAGTCTGTCTCAAGTTCTCATCTTTCTCATGCATGCTGCAAGCCCCATCCTTCTAATAATATTTAGTAAAGAATAAACATCCAGCGATCAGAGAAAAGGATTTGTAAAAAGGAGGCCTCTTTGCAAAGTTTCAGCATCACATGATTTACCTAAGGTTTTTACACTCCTGCAGACCACAGAATAACAAACTCTAATCTAAACAAACAAAATCACTAAACAATTAACATGAGTAATTTCTGATGTTCTTGGTTTAAAGTCTTGTCAGACTTTGTGTAGGGCTCTAAAAATACATTTCACTACTCACCATGGGCTAATTAAGTGAACCAGTGTTGGAGTAAAATTTCTGACTCAGTCCAAAATTTAGACATTAATACATTTAATATTTCCTAAATTTAATAAATAAATTATGTGTTATCATGTGTAAGGTGCATACATCAAATGAAAGAATATATTAGTTTTGTTCTTTGATTATAATTATTTTAATTACGTTTGTAGATATCATCTATAAAATACTTTTGTATGAAGCATACAGCTAGAAAATAGGTGGATATATTTTGTTAACTTAATGGAAGATTTAAGTGGTATTTCTAGAGCCCTGGCTTTGGTCTGTGTTTAAGTCTCAAAATCTAAAAATGATTTAAAGTATGTACCAGATGAGACTCACCACAAATAACTTCCCAGTTCTTTGCAGCTTGAGTCACCTCATAAGCACAGCGGATCTCTGAAAAACACACTCCGCCAACCACAAACACAATTAGACGAGGAACATTCTTCACAGTTTGCTGTCCTTTATCCTTGTGCCAGTGGCCATACCGTGCACTGCATACATAAAAATTATTATTCTTATTAATGGTGCCTCATCAAGATGTATTTTTTAAGATATGTATAAGTGGTTATCCAGTATGTGGGCTGCATAAAACACATCAAGAGGTCATGGGTTGAGAACCCCCGTTCTATATCATTATCATCGTTTTCGTTACTCCTGTGAACCATTTTGTAGATCTAGAACATGATTTGCTGACCAAATGACTGACTGACAGACATTTAATAATTAAATGGCATACATAAATTGAGCAATGGAATTTTTGTCATAATATTAACGTACTCTCTCCTTTCCACATTCTAGAATTTAAAATTTGTACACATCTTTTGTAATACTGTGTCACTCTATGCAATTTACAAATAAACGCATGGAGGGATGCACACAAAACACAAAAACAGAAATTAAACCTGATACTGAAAAATCAGCCAAGCCAAAGTACTGTTAAATATCTCACATATAACTGATTTCATTAGATAAAATTATTAAATGGTATGTGAACTAAATATATTGTAACAGTAGGCCTAATTTAGTGTCATTTTTAATAAATGACCATAAAGTTTCAATAAACTGCAATCATGTACACCTGTGCAGCTATAAATCTTCAAGGGTGAAGTGACCCCAGGTCTCTAAAAAGGGCAATAACCACTGCTATAGAACCAATTAAACACATCTCATACAGTTACAGTAAAATTACAATTTTTATATATTAATGCAAGACATTTGAAATATTCCAGACCAATTAAACCATTTGAAATGAGAATAAATAAATGAACTGTTGATGATACCTGTAAAACCCAACAACAACAATAATGATAAAAACTGATTTTACAACGATCTGTACTTAATCAAAACTAAGGTGAATGGTTTTGTGGTGAATATCAGAATTAGTGGCCTCACCATTCTATTAGCAAGACAGACATCTCATGTAGATAACCACTGGTCTTTGTCTGAATAAAATGAAATATTTTTATAATCACCTAATTTTACATAGTATTTCAGGTGTTCAAAGATAGAAAAATTAAAAATTAAATCCGTGGCATAACAGCTCCAGAGAGCCGAAGCCAACTAGCTTGACTGCTGGTCTCACGTTCACATGCCTAAGTAGAGGTGAACGATGATCCAACCAGATATAGGGTGACGTGTGGTCAGCACGACGAACCCCCAGCCACTGCTAGCTTTCTTGACCGGGTTCAAAGATAGAATGTGTAGGAAATTAGACAAATATACATGATAACCTGAAGCAATACTGTTACTCCCAAAATTGTAGATACTCACATGTATAACATGAACAACTTTATCAATTCTGTTAGTAAACAAGTTAATTGAAATGGGTTAAGCTTCACATGGGCATTTTTATCTTTGTTTACCTTGTAGGTGCATGATAGCCAGATGATGCAGCACGACCAGCAAGGAAGGGAAAGTGCTTCAACTCAAGCTTGTCCTCAATACATTCTTCCATGATGTCCTTGATGACAGGAGTCCAGCGAGACATCTGGTAAGTCTGTTCTGTGATACGTTCCTTGCGCGTTCCATGATAAATCTTTTTGCGATTACCCTGGAAGCAATTTGCCATTAATGACACAATGAAGATAGCCATCCTGGAGTTGATTTCCCTTAATGTGTTACACGAATAATGATTTCTCATTCACAAGAACAAGTATTAATCACTGAAACACTGACCAAGTATGTTTTCTCTGATATTTATGTTCTCACCCAGAAAATTATCATCATCAGTACAGACCGAAAGCTTTTGTGTCCCATTCAATTCCATTTCCTCTTTGTTTTCTTGGATCTTCCTTATAGCATATTCCAAAGAAAAGTTGCAAAAACAAGGTTGATAAAGCATGCCAGGCCATTCTGTATAGGAAATGCATCAGACAAACATTTGCCTGTACAGACTTTACTGTAGGTTTCATTTAAACTCACTTTAATTAGCCTAACTAGTTTCTTTGGTACATTGAATGCACGAAAGGGGGAGGAGGTGTTCAGTCCTATGTGTCGGAGGTTTGCTTGGCCCACACCCCTGAAAAAGGGTGTACTCAAACACATCAGAGTACAATTTAAAATAAAACCCTTTATTGTCCTAAAACAAATTATCATACATACACATTACCAGGGGTCATTGATAAAACTATCACAAACAAAGAAACTCTCAAACAAAACATATAAGTACAATAAAAGCCCCACGACACGGCTCACTCTCAGCAATACTCAATTTGTCTCCCCGGCCTTGACGACCCCGAGGGTCCAAGAATAACTCGGAAACACAGTGGTTGCCCCGTCCACCAACAAAACAAATCCAATACCAATCTGGACGTGCAACTACAACGTGAAAACACATACAAACCAATGTTGCCTCGAAGGGAGTGCCCAAATCAGTCCCCCCTCCTAAACCAGCTTAACCTCCCCACACGCATGCGCACCCCTTTCGAAGTTTCGCCGTCACAACCTCAGAGCCGGATGTAGTCGGCTCAATAGGATTTCTTAAAATCTATAAATATCTAATGTGCAACCATATCATACTGTTTTTCTCCAGTATCTGGCAAATGCAGAATATCTGATCACTAGTGAATCATTTACATTAAAATCCACATGAAGTTTCATCTATTCATGGCATTAACCTTGACAGAAGAATGTTGAATAAAAGTATATAGTTAATAACAGCGACAATCCTTGATAATTACTACAATCACTAAATCAATTCCTGCCACTGATACTGCATCATGCAATATAGGAATCATATTGAAACGAAAGATACCAATTTAATTATGACAACTTTTAGTCTAGACTCCCTCACACTGAATCAAATTCACTCACTAGTGCCAGAGATAACACATGCAAATGGATGGACATTTATAAGATTCTGCATTTTTCACTCATTTTATCCAGATCATGCAAAGAACATAAGGCATACCTGCATAATACTACATTAAAGAGCAAAGGTAACTAATGTCTGCTTACATCAACAACAACGTTCAGTCCCAGATTAGCCATGTTGATAATGGTCTGCTTGTCTTGTGGTGAAATCTGTGCATGCTGGACCAGTTTTGTGAGATTTTCATCACTGATGCCATTCTTCGAGATAATGTACAGTGCGATTATGCGCATCTTATCTGTTGCTGATACAGCCTGGTCCAGCAAGATTGGCACAATGTTTCGCATATGATCTTTGATTCTTTCCCCCTCTGCATCTGTACCCATTGCCAAGTCCTGTATTACAACCACAATGATACACTCAATCAACACAATTAAAAACAAAGTTAACTATCTGAGGGCAATCATCATAACAGTTACTGTCATAATCTCACACATGCAATTCTTATTTTTGATGTATTATGTTCCTAAATTTTTAACTGCAACAGAAACTGATTTATGGACCAACCTCTTCTTGGAATCATGGACTCTCAGCAGTTACAATACTTTCCAGCTGAATGGCATACAAGTGCAAAAATATTGAGATTAACACAAATCAAGCCACTTGGTAGCTACACATGATAGGGGCTTATATTATTTGTCACAAAGTGACTAAGATATAAGAAAAATTGCTAAATATTCTCTGGATTGCCAGCTGTGTTTACTTCATTTTAAAATGTTGACTGGTTCAGGAATTAATATCTCAGTAAAACACTACATTTCTTGAAAAAATTCCAGGAGCCAAAATTGAGGTAGACCTCCATGTAGTAAGTCCTCAATATTAAAAGGCACAACCTCCAAATTACAATGCTGACCTTACAGACTTCATGCAAAAAACACGCTATTACAAATTTAGATTTAGAGACTGAAACATTCATTCAACAAACATAAAAATATATTATTGCAAGGAGAAACTGTTAACCCACCTTAACAGAATGGAGGATAAGAATTTTAAAGCATGCTCATCATTACAAAACAAATTTAAGAACATATAAAAACAATTAAAAAGATGACAAGAAAGTTGAAACAATATTGAACTTATGAAGAACAAAGGAATAAGATTTTTGTATCTAAGAACACAAATTTGTAAGTCGCACCTGCTCAACTTTGCACAGTTTGTCCACATAACCCTGATATGCCTTCATACAATCTTCAGCTAAGTGGAGATGAGTTGAGTATTTGCTCAACTCTTTCTGATACTGTGGCATCTTCTTAATCATTTGTGACAAATCACGCATTGATTGCTTGTCTCCTTGCGGCATACGCTTTGACTCAATGAATTTTTTCAGATTCTTTGTTACACTCCTGTACAGAAAGATAATAATCATCATTAACATAATGCAAGAAAATCATTACAAACATGCTATTAAACAAGCACTCAGATTCCACAATTAGTTTGCTGAGATTATGTCTACATATTTCATATCCAATGTCATCATTTATTATCTGGAACAAAATGGTAATCCAGCCCACTTGGCACTCCCATTAAATGTGGATATGTACAATCACCTTAATCTTTGAAAAGGTCAAAATAGTCATGTATGACATCTGGATTCTTAAGCTATAACAACATAACAAATAACACATGTGCACACTTACTGTGACACTACTGCAATATGCTGGTGTCTGAGTTCAACCCATAACTCATCATTCTCATCTAGAAGCACCTCTTTCTCTGGTGCACCAGCTGTAGCTTCATACCTAGATAACATGCAATCACCGCGCTTCTTGTATTGTACAGCAGAAGACATTCATCATAAATTTCAAAAACAGCTGGCAGCAGCACTCAGCTTAACAACTGTCATTTATATAAGTAGATTGCAGACTAGTCTTTCAGAAAAGTGGGCTGTAGTCATACTGTTTTAGCCAACTTAGCACTTTTAAATTTCTATCCATGAAGCAGAAGAAAGCAAAATCAGAAAAAAGAGAAACAATAGAGGCTCTTCATACTTACTTGTATACATCATTCTCAATAGGCAACAAGTCATAAGCCATTGCTTGTAGTGTTAGCTCGTGAAGCAATGGTGAGACACAATCAAAACCTCTGTCCAAAATAATCAACTGTGATCGAGCTTTCTCTGGGCCCTCACCCATCGTAGGTTCATCAGCTTTATACGCATCCAACTTCTGCTGCACCAACTGTGCCAATTCTACATTTTTATCAAAATCACTGCAAAAAAAACAAATATTTCTTTCCAAACTGTTGTTAGTAAAGCTGATTTGAAACACAACTTAGTGAATCATTAAAGGGAAAGGAAATGTTTATAATTTTAGCTGATTATCCTAAAATTTACATGCTGTTCATTGATGGCGCTTCGGCTCATGGTAGGGTCACCCAAGCCGGACAGGTCTAAGGAGATGCGCTAGACTAAGAGTGATACCCTGGTCCTCCAGGTTGGGGGTTGGGTGTAGGGCTAACAACCTTTCACCTTTAAAAAAAATATGTGTTACGAAAAAACCAACCAAGCCTCGGATCAGGACGGACTCTTTGGCACGACCACAGCAATTGAAAAAGGACATGAGATTTGGTACCTGGAACATTAGGAGCCTCTATAGGGCTGGGGCACTGAAATCAGTGGGTAGGGAATTAGGGAATTATAAGTTAGACTTAGTGGCAGTGCAGGAAGTGCGATGGGAGGGGGAGGGCACGATCCCAGTGGACAATTTTACATTTTTCTATGGAAAGGGGAATGACAATCATCAGCTAGGGACGGGTTTTTTT